ATATATACTAAAATAAACTATTACTTACTACGTAGTAGTAAGTACTTCGTACTAGGCCTGTCGCAATAAACAATAAATCAATTAATCACACGATAAATTAAAATAATTGACCTCGTTTTCATTTATCAGCTTTATCATTTCTTCGTGTCTCTCTTTCTACTGAAGACACTGGATGACAAAAGGCTCAACTCCACTGACCCCTCCCTTTCTCTTTAAAATGTATTTTAACCGTCCAAAATCGAATTTTTGGATCGTTAAAAGCAGCTAAGCTTCATCTAAAAAGTTGTTTTTCTCTGTAAAGTGAAGCTGAGAACTTGTTTACTGATTATTTTATTAAAAGCTTTGGGTGAAATATGCTATGCTAAAGAGCTCAAACCACACCAAGCGTCCGTCATTTTGAGAACCAAAGAGAGACGGCTCATGTCACGTCAAGGGGCCTCCCTCCCATTTTTCTTAGAGACACGCTGCTCGCTCCCTCACTATCCATCCTTCGGTTCAAACAGTCTTATACTGCCATGTGGTGGTTTAAAAAGGTGCTACACACAAAAATTAACCAACATTTCTTCTTAAATTTGACAATAATTACTCATTATTTAAATTAAAACATGGACAAAAATAAATGTGTGGCTCATTTTTTTTTTTTTACCCATGAGACCTTCTGAGGGTTTAAAAAACGTAAACATTTTAAGTTAAAAAATAAAATAGAAAGCAGCTTGTTCTCTCTAATGCAGCTATAACTTCCAGGTTCCTTCATGCTTGTTTTGAACTCTGATGGTTTTATTTTGCAGGAAAGGAAGAAACTTGTTGATTGTTTTCCCCGTGATCTGGATGTGGATAAGTTCCTGTCTTCTCTTCACTACGACGAGTGAAGCTGAGCATACAATCAAGGGAGAACCACCGTTTAATCTCTACTTGTGTTACTGTCCAGGAATAGACAAGCCATCTGCTGGACCAGTACTAATGCTTGCTATTAGTAATTATGGCCTTTAAATTTAAAGATGCAATGACACTTTTGGAACTTTATTAGATAGCTACTTTGTTTTGCTGTGTTTGTGATTCAGAATAAAATGTTGCAGCAGTCGGCAACTGAGGCATTTTTTATCTTTTGTTTAAAAAAATATATATTATTCAGTTTTAAACATTTTGTACAACATAAATAACATTTTGTTTTGGGTTAATATTTGGCTTTCCTTTGATTAATCCAGTTAACACTGAGTGACAGTAAATGTCTCCACTTGTAATTTTCATAGTGTAGAATTAAGGTATTTCCTGTTTTACTTAGGGTTAGCCAAGTTTGACTGAGAACAAAGATGTGAATATACATTTTTATAGCATATAGTGTACATTAGTGTACATTCGTACAGTAATTTTGTCCACAAAATTGGATGTAGTGTTTCTGCTCAAATTTCAATACTCACATTGAGTGTTGTAATAATATATATGTATATGTGTGTGTACATTGCATGCATTATACATTTGGTTTAAAATTGTACATTTGCTGTCAAGCAGAGGGTTTACCTACAGTATATCAACGTCTCAGACTTGAAGGCCTACATTTAATTATTTAAAAAGACCTTTTGTCACAGCAGGATAGATGTAAGTGATATTAATATTGTGATGTGCAAGACTCAGAGGAGGTGAAGAGACTAATAAAGGACAGGTGTGTGCGATCATTAGAGGAGCACATTGAATAAAGGACTCGGAAACAAATGGAGAGAACTTTTAGTGATTGAGGCTGCGCACTTGGAGGGAGAGGGTGTTGCTGGCAGTCATTTAGGGCTGCTGGTGACAAAGATGGAAAGGTGGTTAAGTGTTCCTGTGTGAGGATGTGAGGTTGGGTGCCTTTAGATGGGGAGGGATCTTGTCGGCTGGGTGAGCTAAGTGAGCTTATTTTATATTTATCGTAGGGGTCAAGATCTGACTGTGTGACTCAAATTTATTACAATGGTGTCAGAAGTGGGATCACAATTTCAGAAAGTTGGTGCCTGAAAATAATTCACCTTCTCCATCAGAGACGAGCACTAGTCGGTCTTTAGCTGCAACACCATGACCAGTCTTTATGCCGGAAAGTTTTTCTGGGACAGTGTGTGGGGTCAGATTGGGCTGAGCAATTTGAGATGGCAGCAGATGTTAATAACTGGGATAAAGTTAGTCAGATTTAGTTTGTGTGCCTTTTTTTGTGGTAGAGCTCATGAAGTCTATAGTGGGTTGGTTGAAAAGTCTAAAGTGAATCATACCTTGTTAAAGCAGGGATGGGAAGGTGTCATCAGCTGATATAAATGTCAATTAGTAATCGTTTTCTTCTGTGGGTGAGTGTCGAGGATGCAGGGTACATTATGTACAGTGGTGGAGGCTTCAGCGCAACCGATTTTATGATTTCAGAGCGAACTTTAAGTATTACCCAGTATAACACTTTAAGTATTAACCATTATAACACTTTAAGTATTACCCAGTATAACAAGTGTGTGTGCAGAACAAGGCCAAGAAACGTGCCTATTTCCTCTTAAGCCCATCTCTGTACATCAGCGTCATTACAGTGAAACATTTTGTTCACAAATCTGGCAACCACCGATTGGACGGAAAAGCGGAAATTACGTATATACGCAGCTCATTTAATTTCACAATAAAGGTGCCTTGTCGACTACTAAGGCAGAAAAATTGCAACAGGCGGGTACATAATGACGAAATCAAACACTTGTTTGGTTTTACAAATTTTTCAGATGTATTAATTTCAACAAAGCTTATTGCCAAACTCCTTTTATAGAAAATAAACTGTGAATCTGGAAATGGTTGTCCTTTATTGTGACGTGTACGGAATTAGTTTCCGGATGAAGTGAACAGGATAAAGGTACGGCGATGTCATTTAATTCCAACAAACATCCATTTTAATATACAGCGTTTGCGTTTTTATTACCACGACAACATTACGGCAGCGCATAGTTTTACACATTTCTCCGCCAGTGACTTGGTAAGTGATTTAAACTCTGTTAATCGTGACTCCCGGTGTCCCTAGCTAACCGGTTAGCATGTGGAGGTTACGAGCACGCACTTGACTCCTCCGTATATCTAGTTACAAGACTCCTACACAGACAGCTTTTCACTCGGATGTCTGTTATTTTTTGTAAGACAGTCATTTTTCTAACTATCTTGTGTTTTTCTCTGGTATAAATGTCAGCTGTTGGTTTGACAGGTAGTGCTCATCTGTCAGGACTTCGCCACTCAACCTGTCTGTCTGTCCTACTTCTTTGGTGACCGTAGGCACACAGAAAGCCCAGGGAGGACATTGCTGAAGGATGTGACTCAGACTTGTGTTTTTGTATTTTGTGTTTGTGTGTCCAGCCTGAGCTGACATGGCAGCCAATGGATCGAGCTGTGAACAATCTAAGAGACGTGCAGGACCCAAGGACAAACTGAATGGCATGTCCACAGGTTTGTTGAACATCAAGTTTAAGACTCAGAAGGCAGCACATGTCTTTAAAGTTGTGTAATCCCTGGGGTTAGAACATTAACCTCAGCCACATGGCGTCCAGAAGTCATAAAGATTTTAAAACTGCTTTCAGTTTTCATTCATTCTGACGAGTTCTTGTTGGCACACATCAGATATTTATCATGTATTTAGCTTTGTTAATTCCACAGGATGTCATTGTTAATGAGCCTAATAGGAGCACAAGTGCTGAATGCTCTTTTTATCCTTCAGATTTATCCGTAAGAGAGAGACGACAAAAAGACAAGGAAGAACGTCTTTCTCTGGTGGTGTGGAGGAGACCTGTCATCACGCTACAATATTTCCTTCTGGAAACCCTCATCAAGCTAAAGGAGTGGACATACGAGTAAGCTGTGAAACAGGTTTATGTTTTGGCTGTAAACTGTACAGGTTATTTCTGCTTACTTGCAGCGGTGACATTTTGTCCTGTTTATCTCTGTAATCGAACTGTGTAAATCGTCTTCTAAAGTTTCTTGTAAGCACTTTTTTTTTTTCACCCCACAGACAAAACAAACTTACATTTGTGAGATATTGTGTAGTGATTTAAACCCGCTGACATTAGCTTGTTAGAGAAATGTGCTATTTAACAGAGATGGAACTTCTTTTGTTTTCAAAGTTTATGCATTTGACATTTGTTTGGCTTGTCGTTCTGCCTTCTTTGTCACACTCAGGCTTTGGCATCGACGAGTAGCAGTGTTCTTATTTTTGGTGTTGTGTTCTGTCTTCTCCATCACATACTCCACAGAGGGATCTCACCAGCAAGTAAGGCTTCAATATGGTTTTATTTCAACCCTACAGCCTCATCAGACTAAAGGTCATCGAGTGTCAGTTTTGTTTTGTTTTTATCACCTAGAACTTTGCATACACACAACTTGTTGGGAGATAATGCAGTGTGCACTGTTGTCATGCAACCCTTGATCCTCATTCAGCTGACTGACATTCCTGTTTGCATCCATGCAGGACCGTCCGGGTTCATTCAGTTAAAGTCAAAACACCCAGTGGAGAATTAACTCTAACCAAAGCAAGCAAACTAAAAATACCTGTTTGATCTGGTTTTAGTCAAATTATCGATTTTTTTTTTGTTTTTTTTTTTTTTTTTTTTTTTTTTTTGAAAAGGTTTACTAAAATTTGTGAATTATGTTTAGCTCAGTTTTATTAAGCTTTTAGTTTTAGACTTAAACAATTTAATCATATGTGTTTTGCTTTAGTTAGTTGCTTTAATTGTGTTGGTTTCTTTTTTGAAAACGAATGTAGTTTTTTTTTTTTTTTTTTTTTTTTACTTCTATTTTTTTACATTTTATTAATGTTTTTGTACCTTTTTTAGATTTTAGAACTAAATTTATGTAGCTTTTTTTTTCGTTTCTTTTAACAATACTCTCTATTCATTAAAAATAAATAAAAAAACACCGGAGATGTGTGCAGAAATAGTTTTCCCAATTAAATCCCATCATACGATGATTGTTTGAAATGTTTTTTTTTTTTACAGGTTTTTCATTTTTAAAAATCTTTTTACTTTGTTCTGTTTTATTTTCTGTAAAGCACTCTGTTGCTCTGCTACGTGAAAGGTGCTTTTATAAATGAAACCTGAACGATTCAAATTCTTTCCCAGTTTTTAGTTTTATCTATTTTTCCAGATGTTTTCTGAGTGCGTTTTGCTATTTCTCTGCAGTATGTTCAGTACCTGGAGAAGAAGTTTCTATGGTGTCTCTACTGGGTAGGCCTTGGGATCTTGTCCTCAGTAGGACTTGGGACTGGTCTGCACACCTTCCTGCTTTATCTGGTATGAAAATGTGATTTATGTTAAATAGTTATTCAGAAGAAAGTTTGGTCTTTACCGTCAGAATTATAAACTTTTAAAATCAAATATTTTAGGGTTTTACTTCTGAAAACATTTATTATTATTATTATTATTATTATTATTATTATTATTATTATTGTTATTATTATTGTTATTATTATTATTATTATTATTATTATTATTATTATTATTATAATAACATTCCTCAGATAAATAATCTTAACTTACCGGTACTTTATATGTATATAAAAGTTTTTTGTTCGGTGCCCTGAGATGGCTTCTGTTGTGACTTGGCGTTATATAAATAAACTGAACTGAACTGAAGTGAATTATATTTATAAATGTGAGTAAGATGGTCAGGTTACACTTGATTAAAAATAAATAAGTGCATGCTCCACTTGTGCTGTGGTGGACGAAAGCCACGTCTCTCTGCAGGTAGTTATGGCTGCAAGAACTTTTTCTACAAAAACGTTTTGGTAGATGTTTCTACATTTTATAACTGTAGCAGAATTTGAGTACATAAACCTCAAGATGCCGTTGTAGAAAAATATCTGAAAGATTCTTTTCATGTCACAGCTTTATTTACACTTTATTAATGTAAAGAATTGTTGACATTATCTGCTTATGGATGGATGGATGGATGGATGGATCATCCAGTAGCATGTTCTAATATACAGAAAAAAATATGCATATGAAATCAAATAAAAAAGAAGCAGAATACACAAATTTGAAAAGCACAAGGTGGTAGGGAGTACTACATTCATGATTAATCTATATGTATACATGTATATACATATGTACATGTGATTTTATGTGTGCGTGTGTGTTTCCCCTAGTTAACTTGTCATGGTGGGAAGCTCATCTCACCCATGATTTTTGACGGGGGGGGGACAAAGACATGTCTGAGCACAGCTTGTACCAACAGTTTGAGCGAGGGCAGGGAGGAGGGCGTTCAGCATGAGGGAAGAGGCGTCTAGCTTTTTAGCTAGAGCGCCTGTATTGCACGCCGCTAGCTTAGTGCTATGCAAGTGCCAGGGGAGGGGGTGGTGGTCAGTTTGGTAGGTGGGGTGCTCAGTTCTGTTGTCAGGGTGGGGCACCCCGCTTGTATAATGGCAGGGGAAACGCTGTATATACATACATGCATGCATGTATACATGTAAATTTAAAAAAAAAATACATGCATATAAAAAAAAAACCATACATACATTTAAATAAAAAAAAAACACATACATACATATAAATGAATTTTAAAAAATAACAAGTGTCCAAGGTGCCGCAGATTTACAAGGCTCTATTTTTACTGTACGGGGTGGAGTTGAACAGTCTGATGGCTTGAGGGAAACATTTATTTGCATAAAAACTGATGGAGTCACTGTCTCTTTATTTGTCATTCGCATCTCATGTGGTACATGTGGTGGAACGAGATTGTGTACTCAGGGTCCCAGTTACATCCAACAATAAAATGTAAAAGAAAAACAGTAATAAGATCTAAGATATGAACTAAGAAAGACATCAACTAAAATAACAAAGTCCATGCTCAATAATCCAGGTGTACAATCCAACATTTTTCAGTCAGGTCATCTGGACAGTTTCTTTTTTTTTTTGTGTGTGCTGACAAGTTTCGCCTTCGATCCGGAAGGCTTCATCAGTCAAGGAAACACAACAAAACTGATTCTTCCCCCAACAGCTTACTCCAAAGTGGAACAAACCAGCTATGTTGGTGCTAAGATGGTCTCTTTGTCACGCCCCCTCCTCCATTGCTGGCCCTCTTCCTTGTTGACAGTCGTGTCAAACTGGTTGAAAACAACAAAGTCCGTGCTTGTATACCTGGATTATTGAGCATGGACTTTGTTGTTTTCAACC